CCCCAAAACCCCAAAACCCCAAAACCCCAAAACCCCAAAACCCCTTTGCTAGGTAAATTATAGAAATTGGAAAATAAAGTTAGGCAGAAAATACGAAAGGAGTTTCGATAAATGGTATAGATTAATTATTTGATATTATTCTGCACCGGCGTCAGAAGAGATAGTGGCCCTTGCTCAGGAATAATACTAACCAATCACATTTGAATTAGTCAAATCCAAATTTTGAAATTGGTTAACCATAATACTCAAACACCAATAGGTTACCCGATAGTGGCTTAAAAGCCAGCAGTTAGAGAAACCCGTGGTTGGCTATCTTAGTAGAATGGTAAACTCCTGGGAAGAATCACAAAACTTTTCCTTGCTTTGTTTCTAAATAACTTCTTATTTAGAATCTGTTTTTGTTCAATTAAAACATTTCAGCTAGAGATTTCTCGTAGCTATCCAATGTTGCACATTCGGAACTTTTACTTCATGCTTCGGTTGTGTAATCAAGCTCCTTCTTCCTGAGCTGGTGAACATCTGAACAGTTCGAGTTGAGTTCTTGCTTAATGCTGTTTTCAGATTGCATAAAATTTGACAAGATCCAAGGATGTTCAAGTGCTTGATCTACAGTCAGACGTTCCTTCGGATTTTTGAGTAATAATCTGGATATAAAGTCCTTAGCTTCATCGGAGATGAAACTCCAGTCTTCTTCGCAGAATTCATAGTCAACATGGTAGATATTAGTAAAAAGTTCTTTGGCATCATTACCGTAGAATGGTGGATACCCTCACAGTACAACATAAGTGACTACTCCGATGCTCCAGAGGTCGACTTCCTTTTCATATCTTTCTTCTAGGATCTCTGGGGCCAAATAATATGGCGTGCCTAGCTTTTTGTGCATAACTTCTCCTTTCAGAAGTTGCTTGCTCAGGCCAAAATCAATGAGTTTTATCTTATTATGGTCCTTCCTCTTGAAGAGAATATTCTCAGGCTTTATATCACGATGTCAGATTTCTTTATCATGCAGAAATTTGACAGTTTTGAGGACCTGGTGAATGATGCCTCAAGCTTCGAGTTCATCGATGCATCCGTCATCGGTGATTTTCTGGAACAGCTCTCCTCCCTCACAGTGCTCTGTGACAATGTAGTAGTACTCATTGTCCTTGTATGCTGAAATGTATCGGATCACGTTGTTATGATCGATATTTTTCAGCAAGAGCAACTCCTTCTCAATTCTGTGCGAGAAAGATTCCTGTGGAATTAACTTGATAGCCACATTGGACTCCAGGTCGTTCCGAGGGTGGGCAAGGAAGACGGTTCCGAATTTTCCGTCTCCTATCTTCTCATCAAATACGAAGATAGATTTAATATCTTGCACATGCTTGATGAAGGAAGGTTCTAACCCAGACTGTGAATTTCTCAAAGAGGCATTGGCATTATGCCTTTCCAAATCCATGCACTTTTTGGACGGAGAAGATGCATCAGCTAGGTGAGAGTACTCCTCCCTATTGGAAGAAGCATTACACGTAGATTGCTGCTCGGCTGTAGATTTTTTTCCATCTACGAACCTCACATTCTTCTTTTTGCCGACCTTGTTGGATCGCTTGGAAAGCTCACGAGCCTTGCCAGGGTTTAAATAAGAGTTTTGGTAAGGACTAATTCCTTCAGCTTCTAACTGACAACAATTACTAATGGTAGCACCCATTTCAAATGATTAAAATATTTATAATTTAGAAAAATATTCATTTATGTATAATTAAGGTGGGGTTTTGGGGTTTTGGGGTTTTGGGGTTTTGGGGTTTTGGGGTTTTGGGGTTTTGGGG